TAGAACAATAAACCCTTGTCCGTAGAATAATAAACCCTTTTCTTGAATACATAGAACAATAAACCCTTTTTTGCTAGTCATAAACCCTTTTTATTTTCAAATACCCTTCTACTCAGAAACCCTTTTGCACAAAAACCCTTTAAGGGTTTAAGGAATCAGCATAAACCCTTTAAGGGTTTAGAAAGACTTTCCGAAAGTACTAGGGTTTCTTATTCTACGAATTTTTTTTACAGTGTAGTATATTGTTTCTCCATAGTTTTCGAGCAATGTGGTAGTCAGAAAATTTTGAACGCAGTACATTTACTCCTATTATTTAGCATCATTTGATAGCTCTCAATGAGATCTACCTACCCTGAAAAGTCACACTGATCCAATGGTAAATAAAAATATATTATATAGGCACACTGTCAAAAGTTATGATTTTTCCATAGTTTTTTGGCAATGTGGTGCTGAGGACATTTTTAGTGCAGTATATTTACCCCTAACATTTAGTATCATTTTGTAGCCCTTTTAATTCTCTATCGAATGGTGTATAATCGGTGAGGTTTTCATTTTGATTACGAGATAAAGATTAGTCCGAAAGGTAGAAAAGTTAGAATAAGTGAATGTTTAAATAGAAAACTCTAGTAAAAAAATGAGTATTTTCGTTATAAATCAGGAAATCCTTGATGAATCCTGTTTATCTTCAAACTAGCCCGAGATCTTAATGAGATACATCTGTATAAAATATTTCATGACAATCGGATTGTTCTTTCAAAAGTTATCGTGTGAACGGACGAACGGACACACTGACCGATTCTGAAGTGTACTCACTTTTTGAGTACACAAAAATGTATTGATTTAATTGTGAAATTCAAAATAGATAAATGCTTTTGGTAATTTATAGAGTGAATCCTCAGCATAGAAGAGACGATAAAGTTCATTTTCTTTTAAAATAGAATTTTTCAGTGTTTAAGAAACAATATTTATTACCTTAATCTTTGTTGGTAATTGTGGTCGGGGTGTGGGTGTGGCAAGGCTTCTTCTACTAATCACACCCTACCCCACACACCCAACACACTCACGCCTCCTCTCTCTAACCACACCCACACCCAACACACTCACACCTCCTCTCTCTAGCCACACCCACACACTTACACCCCGATCCTCTAGCCACATCCACACTCATACCCACACTCACACTCACACCCACACCCACACCCACACCCACACCCACATCCACACTCATACCCACACCCACCCACCCACACCCACACCCACACCCACACCCACACCCACACCCACACCCACACCCTCAAGTGATGATGCAAGAAGAGAATCAACAAAAAGACAACTGACAAATAAGCCAGGTGTCGTTTGATTTGGTTTTGCAGAAGGCATGTAACAATCTCCATTCCATATACAAAAAAAACCTGCAGATGCGACACATAAACTCTGAATTCCGCATGAACAATTGTTGTCCCAATAATTTTTCGACACAAAACGATTTGAATCGATTGGATAGATCATTGTTTTTTGTAAGACAGCATTATTATTATCAGCAGTAATGAACTGATTTAGTTGAATTGAAACACGAATAAGTTGAAATAGATCTCGAAAATTCGCTAAGATCTTAAATAAAAGAAATTTATCGATAAATTAAATGAAAAAAGTATCGAGACTAATGTTTATTTTAGAGATGAATGTTCGTGAGCAGTTTTTTGAATAACTTTTCATAGAAACAAGATAGAGACTCACAGTTTTCACAGTTGAAAAGAGCAGATGAAAACGCATCGAACCATACATAGAAAGAGTTTTTCTAAAGTTTATAGTCGAACGTTTTCCAAAAAATTCCATTTTTTTTCTATGTTAAAAAAAGTAATTTCTCTATTGAAATACCGTGGAATCTCCCATTTTTCGATTATTTTATTAGCAAAATGAGGTGGCAAGTTGCACTTCAAATTTAGGAGGCAGGACTTGGATCTAGTTAGATCCGAATTGAAGTAGAAGAGCCTTTTTCGTTTTTGATCGCGTCCAAAAATGTTTGACTTATCCGGCTCTTCATCATGACGGCTTCGTGTTGTAGCGCAAGTGAGTCTGTGCACGAATATGTATACGGGCAATGTTGTAACACACAAATACCTCATTACTACCATTAGCACGATATGCGTGATGAATGGAATTATTTATCGGTCACTGCTAGGATAACTTGTCACACGTTTGTGAATGAGTACGTGATGGTCTAGTGAAGTGTGAATGTTTTATGTAAAGTCACTAACACTAAAATGCTGAACAACACCATGCAAAATACAATCATCAGCCGTATATTCTTATACATGCATGAGAAGTAAAATTTAAAATTGGATTTCGAGCCTCAAATCAAAACCAATCGACAGAAAAAGAGCTGTTATAAGAATTACAATGAGTCTCATTTACTAGATCTTAAATGCATCAGAGTAATCTAATTAATTATTAATAAAATAAATAGAATATTTTTCTTATCAAATACCTGCTTATGAAATTGCTGCATTAGTTCTGATGTTTGCATGTCAAATATATATTTCGGTATAAGTCGAGGAGTGATAAATTGTAAATTATTAAAATCAGCAGGTTTATTCGCTACTAGTTCCGTTGACAGAACGCATAATTTTTGAAGCATAGTAAATATTGTAGAAGCTCTAACACGAAAATCTCGACCGTTAATATTAGCATATATTCCAAGAGAATAAAGCAACCACTTGTCATCTTTGACACAATCACTTGAGCATACTTGATGATAATAAGGTTTCATGTATATGATCGATGAATAAGGTATAGATAGACGAGTACATGGACACGTAAGCATTGAAGAATATCGTTTGTACAGTTGTTCATATTCATTCATTGATGGTTGATAAACAGTATTTATTCGTATATGCGTTGAAAGTGATGAATAGAAAACTAAAATAAATACTCCAATAATGAATGATAAAATAAAAATACGTGTTGAATAAATCCCATCAATGACGTCAGGTACTGATGAAAACATATTCAATGTAAGAATTTTCTGATAAATTTTATTCATATGGAAAATAAAAAATTGGTTGAAATCTATAAAACAAGACATAAACTAGTCAAACAAATAGTAAGAAGCTCACTTCGATTTATATTGTGTGTTTGATCTATTGTTGAAGTTTCATCATTTGTATTCCGAACATTTTTACAATTTCGAATTCTTTGTATGAGTATGAGTAATGCTAGTGTAGAAAAATATAAAATTGTCTTAAGACCACCAAAAAGACTTATGGTAGTAATAATAGCATAAAATAAATTGAATCGTCGATCATATGAATATGTACATGAAAGTGGAGAACACATATGAAAATAACCAGTAAAATTAATTATTGGATTCCATAATTCAATAAATAATTGATCTAATAGATCACTTACTGTTGTATTGTGTTCAAAACGAGATGATGAAAGTGTTTTGACCAATGAAAAACCTCTCAGAAATAGTTGAATTTGTTCAATACATGATTGATTATAGAAACATTCTAATGTTGATGCTAATATAGAATTATATGGTAAACATCCAACCATGACACCGGGTATCGTTAATAATAAATATCTAACATCAGTTAAATTACCGAAAATATATGGTGTGTGTAGATTTCTACGTCCAGTCAGATTATAAATACCAGCTTGATGTACACAATTATCGTTTAATGCACAATTACATGTATTATTCCAGTTTGCATAACCAGAAATGTAGTAGAAACTAGTTGTAGAACCGGGTATAGTCTGAATATAATAGTTCGTACGCAATCCTGATACGAGTCGGTTTTGAAAAATATTAAACCAAAGAAAATCATTTATATGTTTGATATTAGCCATAGTTGTTGTTTTTAATTGTTCAACTAATGCTGCTACTTGAACATTGAATATATTATGAAATAAAGCTTTATTAGTGATCATATATGTTGTAGTAAATTCTTCTAAAACATCAGATACCATTTGTTTTATTGTTCGACATAGTAAAGCAATTATTTGAAAATGAGATGCTGCCATTATACGATAATCTAATGGATAATAATTACTCATATTAAACTCCATTAAAGATGAAATAAATGTTTGATTTACGAATTGACTTGTACATATTGGATGATAAGATATATTGAATGAAAGAAATTGATCATGTCGAATGGCATTTCGTGTACATGGACATGAAAGTGTTGTTGAATATTGAATAGATAATTTTTCGAAATTATGTTCATTTGGTGATTGAATAATTACAGTATTTGTATGAACATTAAAACTAGTGAAAAAAACAGCAATACTCAGACTGATGATCAATAAGCTAAGGAATATTTTTGTTCCACGTAATTGTTCTTCAAGAGATAATTCTTCATTATTATCGAAAAGATTTATATTTATTAAAAGAAAATAAAGTCGTTTGCGTTCATTCGGTTGATCAGGAGCTGGCGTTTCTTCCATTCTAAAAAAAAAAAAGAAATAAAATTCTATTTTAATATACCATCTTATAACATTAAATTGTTTAAAGACAAGCTAAAAGAATTGTCTACTATGCAATAATATAATAGAAATTGTTAGCCTGTTTAGACCTGATTCGCTGGTTAAAAATACTCAGTTGTTTAGCGTTAGGGCACGCATATATACGTATTGAGCTTTTGCTCATATTACGAGCACCATAATATTATTTAGACTCCATGGAAAAGACTTCACTCACTTTTTTTTCATCGTAGCAACGTTGTTGCATCATCGTTCTGCATTGTTCTACGTATATTTATGCGCTCTCTCGTCTGCGTGCTGACATGCTTCCTTCCCACATTCTACCACTATATGGTATTCAAAGTGAATAAGTATAAAAAAAAACTATGCAATATGGTGACTTTCGAATTCAATTCATTTGAGAACTGATTGAAAGATATAGTTATCTCAAAGATCCAATTGATCGTCCGACAATCGAAGGCCATTCTATACGTCTTACTACATGCCATTTTCTATTTCTAGTTCCAGCAATAGCAACAAGAAAACCCATACGGAGATATTCTAAAGTTTGTAGCCATATAAGCAAATGGAAGAAAAATACTCTGAAATATTTCTATATGCTTCTTTATAACGATAAAATTTTTTTCAGAAAATTTTTTTCAAAAAAATCTTTTGCGCCCAATTCCTTTATTTCTCAGTTTTTGCCAATTGTCCTATATTTTGTGTTCAAGCATCTGGAAGACTTACAAGACGTCATGTTTTCTTAAGTAATCAAAAAAAATAATTTAAAATATAAAATACTTTTCCACTGGTTATATCATGCATGTGGAAGCAGGATACTTTATTTTTATTATATTGAATATTTGTATGTAAAAGTAGGGCAATTATACATGAAGAATGAATGCTTACAATCAATACATGGATGAAAATAGAATTATATTTTTTCTTTTGAACTCAAGTCATAAATGAAGCTATTTGAGTTTCATATATGCAGAAGCTCAAATGTCATACCATGAAATATCCGTCTAGGATATACATACTGTTCACAATGAAATGTTTAATTATTTGTTATGCATGCATACAAAATAAGAAGACTTTAAATAAATTCAGCATATCAATCAGAAACAGTTCGATTTAGTAACTTTTGTTATAAGATAATTCTGTAAAGATGTTTGAAGTTGTCACAATATTTTATAGTTTCTCAGCTATTACATGTAATTATATTTGCAAAGTATATGAAAAAAAAAATTCTTCAAGTCAATGTAGCATTTGGTTAGCAGTTAAATGCGTTTCTAAGTTTGTAATTGCAATTACGTATAAGAGAAAAGAAGCAAGACTTAACAAGATGCAAATAAACTACGTAGTATGTTCATCTAACGATGAATAATATGTTGCATAAAAGAAAAAAGATCTACTTTAGTTAGTTTAAAGATGGAAAAATGTCTAACATTGTTAGTGAATTTCAATAACCTTAAGTAAAAGCAACAACAAACAATTCATCATGATATCTTAGTCTTCAAAAATTAGAAGTGTTGAGTATAGATATTGATGTATGAGTAATTGAAAAGCATTCACCAACGTCCCATGTAAAAATTTTTAGCAATTTAACGAAGTTTTGTGACGTGAAAATTCGTTAAAAAGTTAACGACTTAACAAAATTTAATGTTACCTTTCTGACCCTAAAAACGCGTTAAAAACGCGCAAATCTAACGGGTTTTTTTTCGTTAAGAAAAAGATCGTTTAACGCGTCTTTTTTCGTTTAAAAATAGGTCTTTAACGAGTCTTTTTTCGTTAAAAAAGAGGTGATTTAACGCGTTTTCATGATCAAAAAGGTAACATTAAATTTTGTTAAATCGTTAAAAATTTAACGATTTTTCACGCGGTAATTTATGGAAAAAAAAAACGCATGAAATTGCGTTAAACACTTAAGCTGATTTATACGTTACTGCTTAGAATTTTTTTGTACATTGCTATTGATCGCATGTCCGATGAACTTCTTTCACTGATCGATGTCTTCCTAAGTTTCATTGGTCTCAACAGGAATATTCAACTAAACATTTCAATATTGGATATACTTTCTAATAAGATACTTGAGAAAATTTT